CTGTTTTACTCTTTTTAATGCAGTTGTAAATAGTGTTTTTTTTAAAATTTCTCCTCCTGCTAGTTTATTATTGGCATATAGAAATGAAAGAGATTTCTGTGTATTAATTTTGTATCCTGCAACTTTTACTGAATTCATTTATTATAGTGGTTTTGATTTTGTTTTTGCTTTTTTTTTTTTTTTTTGGTCTTTAGGGTTTTCTGTATAGCAGGGTTTGTGCGGGTTTGTGCAGGTCTGCTGTAGGAAGGGACCTGCAGCCAGCTAAAACTGCCAAGGCTGCAGGTCTCTTCCCACAGCAGACCTGCATAAATCATGTCATCTGCAAATAGTGACAGTTTTACTACTGCTTTTTCTTTTTCTTACATGATTGTTATGGCTCGGACCTCTGTACTATGTTGAAGAAACCTGGGGGAGCAGACGTTCTTGTCCTGTACCTGATCTTAGAGGAAAGGCCTTCAGCTTTTCATTTTTGGGTATGATGTTAGCTGTGGGTTTGGGCTTTTATTATGGTAAGTGTGTTCCCTCTATACCCACTGTGTTAAGAGTTGTTATCATGAATAGGTGTTGAATTTTGTCAAATTTTTTTTTTCTGCATCTAATGAGATCATGATTTTTAATCCTTCATTTTGTTAATGTAGTGTATCACATTGATTGATTTGCAGATACTGAACTATCCTTGCATCCCTGGAATAAATCCCATTTGATCTTGGTGAGTAATCCTTTCAATGTTTTGTTGAATTTGGCTTGCTAATATTTTGTTGAGGATTTTTGCATTGGTGTTCATCAGGGATATTACTGGCTTATAATTAGCATTTTTCCCCCTGTAGTATGTATCTTTATTTGGTTTTGGTATCAGAGTAATGCTGGCCTCATGAAAGAATTTAGAAGCATTTGTTCCTCTTCAATTTTTTGCAATAATTGAAAAGGACGGGTATTAACTCTTTAAATGTTTGGCTTTACCTGTGAAGCTTTCGGGTCCTGGACTTCTGTTTGTTGGGAGTTCTTTGATTACTCATTCAGTCTCATTACTAGTAACCATTCTGTCCAGATTTTCTATTCTCGATTCCGTTTTGGAAGATTGTATGTTCCTAGTAATTTGTCCATTTCTTCTAGATTGTCCAGTTTGTTGGCATATAATTTTTTGTAGTAGTCTCTTATAATTCTTTGTATTTCTGTAGTGTCATTTGTAACTTCTCTTTCATGTCTGATTTTATATATTTGAGTCCTCTTTTTCTCTTGAGTGTGGCTGAAGGTTTATCAATTTTTATCTTTTCAAGAACCAGCTCTTAGTCTTGGTCTTTTGTTATTGTTGTGTTGTTGTTTTGTTTTTGGTCTCTATTTCATTTACTTCCACTCTGATCTTCATTATTTCATTCCTTCTGCAAACTTTGGGTTTGTTTGTTTTTTTTCTAGTTCCTTTAGTTGTAAGGTTAGATTGTGTTATTTTTCTGGTTTCTTGAGGTAGACCTGTATTGCTATAAATTTCTATCTTAGAACTGTTTTTTCTGTGTTCCAAAGATTTTGGAGGGTTGTATTGCATTATTTGTCTCAAGGTATTTTTTAATTTCCTTTTTGGTTTCTTCATTGACCCATTGGTTGTTTAGTACCATGTTGTTCAGTGTCTATGTGTTTGCAGTTTTTCTAATTTTTTCTTTTGATTGCTAGATCTTGTGATCTGAAGTGAGTCTTCATATGGATGTGTCTTTTTATTTTTTTTTATCATTCTTTCAGTTACCCTATGTCTTTTGATTGGAGCATTTAGTCCATTTACATTTAAAGAAATTATTGATAAATACATACATACATTTGCCCTTGAATAGGTGGTGGTTAGGGACACTGACTGATATCCATGCAGTTGAAAATCCACATAAAACTTGTGAGTGCCCCAAAATTTAACTATTAATAGCCTACTGTTGACCAGGAGCCTTGCCTGGTAACATAAATAGTTGATTAACACATATTTTGTATGTTAGGTGTACTACATACTGTATTCTTAAAATAAGAAAATCATAATAGATTTTTTTATTAAAAAAAAATCCATGTACAGTTCAACCCTATGCTGTTCAGGGGTCAACTGTACTTCCATTTTAATTGCCTTCTGGTTGTTTTTGTTCTTTTCTGTTCTCCCGCTTTCTTTTGTTTGATGACTTTTAGTCTTATGCTTGGATTCCTTCATATTTTAATGGTCACTTCAGTTTGAACATATTCTAAAAGCACTACATTTTTACTGCCCTCCCCTTCCACATTTTATGTATTTGGTGTCATACTTTACATCTTTTTATTTTGTGTACCCATTAATTATGGTAGATAAAATTGATACCACTTTTGTCTTTTAACCTTCATACTATTATAAATGATTGATCTACTACCTTTACTGTATGTTTGTTTTTACCAGTGAAATTTTTTCTTTCATAATTTTCATCTAGTTATGTCCTTTTACACTTAAAGAAGTCCCTTTAACATTTCTTGTAAGGCTTGTTTAGTGGTGATGAACTCTAACTTTTGTTTGGGAAACTCATTTCTCCTGTAATTCTGAATGATAATCTTGACGGGCATTCTTGGCTGTAGATTTTTTTCTTTTCAGCACTTGGAATAGATCATGCCATTCCTTTCTGGCCCACATAGTTTTTGCTGAAAAATCAGTTGATAGTCTTGTGGGGGTTTCCTTTGCATGTTATTAGTTGTTTTTCTCCTGCTGCTTTTAAGGTTTTCATTAATTATTGACATTGTAACTACAGTTGACCCCTAACAATGCAGGGGTTAGGGGCAGCAATCCCCTGTGCAGTTGAAAATCCACATGTAACTTTTGACTCCCCCCAGGTTTACTAATAGCCTACTGTTGACCAGAAGCCTTAAACAGCTGATTGACACATATTTTGTTATACGTATTATATACTGTATTTTTAAAGCTAGAGAAAAAATTAAGAAATCAGAAGAGAAAATGTAGTTTTGTACTGCATAGAAAAAATATCCACATGTAAGTGGATTTGTGTTGTTAAAGAGCCATCCGTATCATGTGTCTTGGTGTGGACCTCTTTGGATTCATCTTGTTTGGGGCTTTCTGTGCTTCCTAGTGCTAGGTGTCCATTTCCTTCTCTAGGTTATAGAAGTTATCAGCTATTATTCAGTAAGTTTTCTGTCCATTTTTTCTTCTGTCCTCTCCTGGGATGCTTGTAATGCAAATGTTCAGCTTGATTTCTAATACCTTGTGTTCCAGATTGCGGATTCATTTTTCTGCACCTTCTAATTTGATGTTGATATACTAGAGGGTATTTTTCATTTGTATTGTATTCAGCTCTGAATCTTTTTTATATTTTCTATCTCTTTGTTAAAGTTCTCACTGAATTCAAGTCCAGCTAGCATCTTTATGGCTGTTACTTTGAACTCTTTTTATCACGTAGATTGCTTAGCTCTGGTTCATTTTTGAGGTTTTGTTTTGGTTCTTTTGTTTGGAACTTACTCCATTTTGTCTACTCTATGTTTGTATTTAGTAGGTCAGCTACATCTGGTCTTGAAGGTAGTGGCCTTCTGTAGGAGGCATCCTGTGGGGGCCAATAGTGATGTCTCCCCTGGCCACCAGAACCAGGTGCTCCAGGCATGTCCCGTGTGGGCTGTGTATGCACTGGTGGGTGGCAGTGAGATTTGGCCACAACTGCTATGAGCATTGTGGTAGGCACAAGTTGTGTCTGTTGGGAAGGTGAGTCCAAAGAGTAATGCCTGGTCAGTGCCAGTGGTGCTAGCAAGGAAGATAGAAAGTGACCTGCAAACTCTTCCATTCCCAGAGAAAATTCCTACAGATTGTTGCCCCTCCCAGCACATGCCCTAAAATTAGTAAATCTCCTTCATGTATAACCCAGTACTTTTCAGACTGCTGCCTCGGTGCTGGGTCTCAGAGTGATTAAGAGTAGACCCTCAGGGGTGCCTGGGTGGCTCAGTCGTTAAGCGTCTGCCTTCGGCTCAGGTCATGATCCCAGGGTCCTGGGATCGAGCCCCACATCGGGCTCCCTGCT